GGGAGTAATGAGTGGAATGCCTAAATATATATGAATATATTCCTAAATATATAGGAGCTAAAAGAGGTTTCCAAAGAAGAAAACAGAAGTGCAATTTGCATTTTTCCATATAAGAACTTACATTAAAAAAAAAAAATGTTTACCACGATCGTTGGTGATTTCAACGCGACACAAAGAGGAATCTTACCATAACTATACAGTACTTCTAGTAAGGATGGTGATTGTAAAGACAATACGTGCAGAATAACAGTAACAATAGCAACAATTATGTATATGACAGTACTAACAGTAGCAATGCCAATAGCAGCAAAACCATTATAATAAACAATGAAAACGACAAAGGACTACCATACTAATTACGAAAACAACACTGAATAGCACAATGATCCTTGCGGCGAAGTGACAATAATTTCAATAACAATATCACACAGGAGAGAGAACAGAAAAACATTTATCAAACAAACAGAGCCCAACGCAGCTCAAACGCATTCTCGGAAGGCCTTGCTCAGAAACCTGGAGTGGGTCATGAGGAGCTCCAGAACCTGCTGTGGACGTGGGAGGTTTGGCATTCGCTCCCCGCTATCGGCCTCTCATATTTTGCAACTGCTTCCTCTATCTGCAGAACAGCTGCGGAGGTGGCTGGTTAGGTGCAAAGAAGGAGGGGAAATTGGTGGACGCGGTTGTTGGGGACACATATAGCCTTGACCTTCCGGATGGCGGTGTGTCTGTACTTCTTCCTAACGGTACAGCATTCTCGCCCCCCCTCCCTCCGGTCCTCCCGTCCTTCCCCCCTCCCTCCCTCCCTCCCTCTCTCCTCTCTCTCTCTCTCTCTCCTCTCTCTCTCTCTCTCTCTCTCTCTCTCTCTCTCTCTCTCTCTCTCTCTCTCTCTCTCTCTCTCTCTCTCTCTCTCTCTTCTCTCCCCTCTCCCTTAGCTCCTTCCCACCTACCGTTTATTCCGTGTTCTCTTACTCTCTCTCTCTCTCTCTGTGTATATGTGTGTGTGTGTGTGTGTGTGTGTGTGTGTGTGTGTGTGTGTGTGTGCGCGCGCGCGCGCGCGTGCGCGTGCGTGCGGGAGCCTACCTCTCTGTCTATCTATTTCTTTCTCTCTTTCTCTGTCATTAAATACAATTTGAGTATGTTCGTTAAATCACTTTTTCAAATCAGAAGCATCATCTTTTGTTATTCTCTGGATATTGCTTGGTACCTAAAGGAAGGGCCTCCTCTGAGAGATTTTTTGGCTGCTTCTCTGTTCTACTTTTGCCGTCGTCAACATTTTTACAAGGAGCATGGTATTTAGATTATTTTAATGAATATTTAGGCAATTAGGCCATGCTCCCTGTGCAGCAATACACGTTAATACCATGCACACCCACATGGACAATCGGCAACTAAAAAAGGAGTCAATGAAACCATATGTGTAATACAATATTTATTATTGTGCTAACTTTCCAACAACTTTCATTAACAGAACAATGGCATATAGGAAAAACAATTATATAAGATAAACAGAAGATAGATATATGATAAAATATTTTTCGTTATAGAATAAGTGTAAAATAAAGTGGAATATTCTTTTCATTTCTGATTATGGTAAACAAACAATATATAATAATAAAATTAGTATATCAGACATAAACTTTAATATTCACTGATAAATAACAATACAAAATAAAATAACTGTATGTATTACTTACTGTATGTATATACTGTATATATGTGTATAGATATAATTTGTAATGCAGTTTGCATTACACACATATCTTACAGAAAACTGCCCTATATAGTTCTTTGGACAGCGTGTATCTACAGTGCTAGATGTTAACATTTATAGCTAATATAATTAATACTGTTTTCAGTTAAGCTATCTTTTATTGGTTATGCAATATTAATATAGTAACATTCATTAACTTTTAACACATATTAATATATATTCATATCTATGTCTTTCATAAACTCTGAAAACTGTTGTTAATAGAATATATTTTCCTATTATAGTCTAGAAATATAATTCTATATTTTTAATTTATAAGAGAGAGGAAGCAGCAAGGAACAATTAACAAAATCTTGGTATCAATAGGGAAATATACTAACAGTAACCACTTTAAGGATATGACTGTCCTCCTGGAGGTATCATCTATTATACTATAAATATCTGTAAACTCTCTAATAACATAATTATTTGTGTATTTTTTTTTAATGTAGTGACTGAATTTTTAAAAATAAATAAATGAAGAAGCAAAGGAACTGGTTAAAGCTCGTACATAATTCTCCCTTTCCTATTTCTTTATTCCCATGTGAAAAAAGTGAAACTATGAATTTATTCTTTAGTAAGATATGTATCTGATGTCTTGTACCTTCTGTTTATATTTTGTCAAATTTTCTTTTCTAGACTTTTCTTCTTTGTAGAACTCATGTTTAAATGAGTGTATCCTCATCCCTCTCACTAAATGCCACAAGTAATGACTGCTCTGATGGGCTCCTCCGATCAAGACGTCTTAAT